TACAGCATGTAAAATCATTTTATTCTAAATTTTGAAATTGTTTAAAGTTTGAAATTTTAATTAGTCGTATGACATTTGAGTTCACTATTGCTGTCGACAGTTGGCCGCCGTTTGGCGAACAGTTGCGGTTGCAAATTTATCGAGACGTCCTCGGGTCTGGCTCATCACGTAGACGAGCTCTTGGTCGGAATTCTGGCACAGATCAAGCTGAATCCGCAGCGTAGCCGAGATCAGGCAACTAGGCGCCGTCGTAGCAAACACCGTAGGCGGATTTTGAAGCACCTGCTTGGCTTCAAGAGGAAAACTAAGAGCTGCGAGAACCTATTCGTTCTCTAACGTTCTCTTCGCACACGGTATACTCCGTATACGGCGGAGAGAGAGAAGTGATTTCATCAGATATCGATCGTCCGAGTATGTCGCTCTTCGGTCCGCGAATACGTGTACTATCTGTGCAAATGTATGAGGATCGTGCGACGTAGGCGAAAAAAACGTATCTCTGATATAGAAGTGGTTACGCAGCGAATCGGTAACGCGAAGCGCGAAGAATATTGAGCGGATTCGCAGAATGCTTGGCACAAAATTGGAATTCAAAGAAATTCGTGTCTACAACACGTAGAGATGTTGCTAGTAGCGCACGAAAGAGACTAGACCTCAGGGCTTTTGTATTCGTGCGCAAGAAAATAAAGGATCGGTCGTTCTTTTCAACCTGAAGCTTTTTCGTCGAAATGCAACGCAGTTTTGCCGCTCTAGTTGGCATATAATTCAAACGAGGTGGATCCGAATGAGTATAATTCTTTTTCAGTGCATGTCCCAGTTGAAAAAAAATGATATCTCTGATGAATGTTGAGTCAATAAGGCTCAATTTAAAAGGAATTATTCAAATTTTAATAAAAAAAAATATTGTAGTAAATGTTATAAAATATAAAAAATTATTTTCGTAGTCAAGTTTTTGGATTCAACTGTGAAAGATTTGAGTGGTTTGATATACAATGTACAGTGTTATCTTCACTCAAATACGATTCTGATAATATCAATTTCTTATAATGTTTATTATATATATGTATATATAAATAATATTTTCTTGTATCTTAATGACAGAAGAATCTAACGATGTTGGATGGTACTAGTGGATACAGATTAATTTGAAAATTTTTGGGTTTTACTACATAATTTTTACCAACGTGATAAATATTTGTTTTACATGATAAATATTTGAATAAAATTTTGACTCCAAAAACATCCTGATATAAATTTTTAATATAGAAACCTTAAAAGTTAATTAAATGAATTTACGTTTCTCTTTTCAAAAAGTCACATTGATAAGGATTTGATAAAGGTTAACTGTGCGGTGAAAAAATGCAATTTGTAACGAATTTTTTCCTTTTCTATGAAGGACGGAATATAAAGTATATTTTGACGTTAAAAATGTATTTATTTATATAATTTTTTGAAAAACTAAAACAATAACAATAAATCGATTTGTTTATATCTTTTCTATAAATATATAATGTTTATTGTTGCGAAACTCTGTATTTTAAATTGTGTAAAATATAATAACTGTAGGATTGATTTGTTACAAAATACAAATATTTTTTTTTTGATGCAATATTTTTTTTAATTTATAATTTTAATTTTTCATAAGTATTGCGACTTTTGAAAAGAAGAATTAGTTTTAGAGAAAGGTCATAATTTCATTGAAATGTCAAAACGTTAAAATGTGCCAAATCTCGATAGATAGTATAAAATTTGAGTTTTGTGCTTCAGATTAAATTTCTGGGAGTTATACACGAGCATGGTCCTTTGTGAAACGCAGTTTCACGACAGTTAATTTCATATGAAAGATAAGGAATGAAAAATTTTCTGATTTCGCAGTCTTTTAGATATGAGATTGTGTAAATAAATACATACAATCTCAAACACGTATGTAAAATACATTTTTAATGTCAAAATATTGTATTTTTAATTCCACCTATCCTCAAAATGCATTTTCTCACCAAGCAATCTGGTTTCGCCCTTTAGAGCGAAACATGCACATACGTATGTATGCGTAAGCAATATAAGTCACAATTTTATGAGAGAGCTGCGACGTTGCGTCGCATTTCTATTCACGCCGCGCATATAAAGAATGACTGTTATTATATATTCCGTTTCAAATGGGTCTTTTTGTGACTCATCATAGCGAATACGATGTTATGATTTATCACGAGGCCTGAATAAAATAAGAGCTCAGCGCGATGTAATATCAGAAATAAAGTCATCGATAACGAGACAGGACATGTGATAAAACATTACATTTACGAGATGCAAATGTAATACTGTGCATCTAATATATAAGCTCACGCAAACAGACGAATGTAATTTACGATAATGTGGCTTTGAGACGTAAAATTAGTTTTGGCGTTTCAGAAAAAAAATTCTGCAAAGATCTCCCAATATTTCACGTCGTATTTGTGCTATGTGTGTGTATGCTAACGGTCTACTTGAAATATTACTGTAAGCTCATCATTTCTCTGAATTATAAATAAGCCAACAATGTAGTCAATAATGTAGATTGTGAATGTTTATAAGGCAGCATGGTAGTAATGATAATAATAATAATTACTTAATAATATCAGCTAGTAACGGGAAAGTCAATCGCTTTGCTACCTCCACGTCGAAAAAACATCAATTTGTATTTAATTAATATTTTAACTGTCTCCCGCGGTAAAAATTCACAATATATAAGGGGGAACACCACCCTTGAAGTTTGAAAAAAATCGAAATTTTTTTACTTAAATTTATAGTTCATATTGTTAAGAATAATATTTCAATAGTTTTAAATCGATATAATCAATAATTAGAGCCAATATCTTGCATCTCCTCGTCGCTGAGTTTACTCCAAGAGGATATTTCGCAGCAGAGCTCCATAGATAAAAGGAAACTCAAATTTTCAAAGAAATAGGTTTTGACAGATAGATATTGCCACTTGTAAAATGTATGGCGCAGGCATTGCAGACTAAAGATACAATTCCGATTTTATAAGCTGAAAACTTTAAACGCGTTTTTCTCAAAACGAGGTTTACATGATGTACACGATAACTTTTACAATTCTTAATCGGTTCACTTGAAAAATTTGCACAGATTACTCTCAGATATTTAATCTAGAAAAGTACGTAAGATTTTTGCGATATATTGAAAATTTTTTTTATTATTAACATTTAAAAACGAAATTTTTTGATCAAAAATGTTACTTTTTTTAAACATTTACCATTTTTGCAAAAATAAATATTTTGAAATAATCCTACGTATTTCTCTAGCTTTAAGTATGTAAATATAAAAATTTTTGGATTTTTGTTTCATATAAAAATGTGTAGAAAATTCCGTGTACACCGCATATGCATTATGCACTCGCCATTTTGTGTGATAAAAATTAAAAAAACAAATTTTTTGTACTCGTCTATTCTCAAGAAAATTCATATAGTAAAGCCCTTAAAAACAATTTTTAATTGACTTTAGTTTACTGCAAAAAATTGCTAAAATTAGATATCATTTAATTTTAAGTCTCAAAGATTCCAGTTAGAAATAATAATGGGATCAACATCGAATCGATGTCGATTTGATGCTTTCGACGTCGAACCGACATCGATTTCTGACTGGAGTGGTGTTCCCCCTTAATAGATCAAAGATACAACACAGTAGCAGATGAAAATCATTTGATCAAAAGAATCAAGACATATGGGAATTCATAACAGCACTTTTCTGAAAAAAAAAGAAAAAAAAAAGAAATAGTTTCGCTGAAATCTGTGATGATTGAAATCTTTGATCGCGAATTGTCTGAACTTAAAGGAGAGCGCATATGCTAAAATGTAATCAGTATAAAGATACGTTCGCCAACGTCGGAATCCTCGAGCGATACAGAAATATAGATGATATCCTGTTGTGTTGGTGGGAACAAAATAAACACACAATCGACCAAGCAAAGTAATCTCGTAGGCAAAATAGCCTCGGTTATTTGCTATCGATATTTAAGCTATGATAGATGCGCGTGAGATACGAATATGATTCTGTCTGTATCATAATGGTGTTTATTCATCATTGATATTGTTTATAAGAACGGCAGTGACACTTTTATTTAGAACATATCGTGCAATCCCGTGAAATATGCGGCTATCGATATTATTCTATAGATATATCTGTTTTCTGCTAAACTAGTGTAAACTACACTTTTAAAAATTAAAGTGAGATAGGAATATGTTTGATATTTGTCGAAAACGAGAAAAAAAGTTCTAGTGCAGTCTAGTGCAGGAACAGAAAACAGACCATATGATGTCGTGGACCACCGTTGTGGGGTTGCATTGATCTCGCTTTTCCGAAAAGAGAAAAAGATATCCGATATTTTGATTAGATTCTGCCGATCATATACGTACAGATTTTTCGTTAAAATCAAGCAAAATATGAATGTTTTATATGGATTTATAATAAATTTCCTTCCTTTATTTCAGCCATGAAAGGGTTTCCTTTTTTATCTTTATACTCGTCGTTGCTTATCCCAAAATGACAAATAGTGCATAAGCTAAAATAAATATTATACAATGTCTTAACATATTGATTATATCTTTCATAAATATCATATAATCTTGAAATATTTCCAGAAAGTCAAATATGTTTTTTTTCGTAATTTACTTTTTTATGTCGAAAATATTACAGACTCTATTAATATTTAAATCTTAAATGTTTTAAGGCAAAAAGGAAATAAATTATGAAAAAGAAAATGTGTTTGGCTTTCTGAATTTTTCATGAAATTGGATGTCATTTATATGTAAAAGACGTGGCAATCAATGAGTTAATTTTATACATTTTCTTTATTTTCTGAAGTTTCTTAAGCTTAAGTTTCTTTCTATTTGCTTGAATAACACGGTAATGGAATGCAAGGATGGCAAGGATTGCAGTAAGGTGTCAGAAGTGACAACTGAGGGCAACAAGGTCCAGGTATTATCGGACAACATTGAGGTGGTGGGATGCAAGGTGGCCTCCTAGGTGGACTTTTGCAAGGAATTTCTTCAATTCTCGGGGGCAAAATTATGCTGCACGACGGTGGCGATGGAATGCTTGGGCTTGTGCTATAAATGTTCATCATATTTTAAATGTGTATCATATTTTAAAACTAGAACAGTTAATAACTGCCAGAAACTAAACGTTAATTATTTCTCTTCTACCAGACATGATAATTTTGATCGTTGAAATTCATTGGAATTTTCTAAATTAATTTGCACGTACCAACTGTCAATAGTACATATCAGATACTTTAGCTCTTCCATATCGTTCCAGCACAGTCCCGATTTCTTCTTGCAAGATAAATCTTTTATGTGTACCGACATTTTATTTTATCTCAGTTTTATTCCTGTTATTTTTAAAATTTATTTAAATTTAATTGTACTGTATTTCATTTTTTTAACATTGCAGGCCAAATCTTCGTGACAGATAATTTTGTCGACATGAAATTGCAGTTTAATAAAAAAAATTATATATACTGATACGATGATGTAGTGGACTATATCATTGCTGCAAGAATTATGCAACTAATTCTACATACGGAAATAATAAATAAATAATAAAATATTAATATATTTATTCCGCTGCTTTCGGATACCTCGCTGCCTTTTTCTTTTAAATGTGTTTTTAAGTTCTTTCATTGTTGCTTCTTCATGAATTCTTATTTACAAAATAGGTTATTATGATTATAATATAATAAAAATATAGAATGTATGTGTAAAATATCTCGCCAACTATTTCAAAAATTAAAAATTAAGAAAGTGATTTGCACATTAATGTTAGCCGACAGTTCTTAGATTCTTTCACGAATAATTACAACTTATAAATACATGGACAATTAAAATATTTGGTACTCAGTGTATGTTAATACTGAATGAAGTCATTATCGAAATTGTATGAAATATATTATAGCTATTATTTATATCTTTTTTTACAGGCTATATTATGAAGATTTCATATAATTTTTACATTATATAAAATATATTTATTCAATTTGGCAAAATAATTTTACACGAAAGAAATTATGGCAGCACCCAGTGCTTATAAGAGATTAATGTTAAAAATCGCTTCGGTCCTCCCCGAGAAAGTTCGCCCCGCATTTTTGCATCCTGCAGGTATGGTCTGTTCAATTAAATTTTTCTGAGAAAGAGATTACGCCTAAATTTATAAAAAAATAAAGACGCTCGCACGGAATGCAAGAGATCCGAATTCGACTCCCGGATGAGGCAAAATTTTTTGCAATATGTTTATTAGTTTTTTTTAAATTAAATTTGGGAAATTTAGGGGGATTATTAATATTTCAAATTGATTGCGTTGAAAGTCCGACAACCATATCACGTAATTATAATTTCTGAAATTAATTCATTTAAATGAATATATTATAACAGTTCAACATCTTAACATTCAGACCGTAGTGGCGCTCCGTATTTAAAGTAATGTATCTAACATAAACGGTCTTATTTCTAATCTTATTATTGTTTATCAAAAAATGTTACGAAAAAAAATCAAATTGTCAGGTCCGACAACCGTATTCTTTTGGGCGCCAACGTTTAAATGGGGTCTGGTTATAGCGGGTATAGGAGATATTAATCGACCTGTAGATACGATTTCTCTCAGCCAAACTGCGAGTCTTATGATTACAGGTGCAATTTGGTCTAGGTATATAAATATCTTTTATTTGAGATTTTATGATTTGTTATAGAAACTTGAAAATAACGAAGCGCCTTCCGAGTGTTAAAATGTTGAACTACTATATAATATACAATCATTTAAATTGAATTAATTTTCAGAAATAAATTGCGAGCCGATGAGCCAAATCTTAAAATGGGAAATTTTGGGGGAATTATTTGTTTCAGATTGATTGTGTGAATCCGATAATCTCATCGGCTCGCAATTTATTTCTGAAAATTAATTCAATTTAAATGATTGTATATTATATAATAGTTCAACATCTTAACACTCGGACCGGTAAGGCGCTTCGTTATTTTCAAGTTTTAATAAAAACGGTCTCGTTTCCAATCATATTATTATAGAAAATTAATTAATCTGAATTTGCACAATTCTAGATATTCACTGGTCATCATACCAAAGAATTATAATTTGTTGAGCGTCAATTTATTCGTTTCTGCCACGGGAGCATATAACTTCATCAGAGGAGCATTATATCAAATGGCGCAAAAGTAAATGGACATCATAAATATGCAGATCATGAAATTAAGAAGAAAAATGTATTGATACATTTTATACTAATGTTTTTTGATTTTTATTATATAAAATTATTTAACAGTCACGCTAACTATTCGTATGTCGTCGTAAGGCTTATCAGTTTTAGGATTTGTTTTTACCTGGCTGATATTCTGAACGACTTCCATTCCTTTGTGAACTCGGCCAAACACGGTATGCTTATTATCTAACCAGGGCTAAAAAAACAAACAAGATATTTAAATAAAATCTGAAGCACATATATAATCAATTTTTGAGAAACTTTGTTAAAAAAAAATTTGTACTCACTGTCGGTGTCAATGTAATAAAAAACTGGCTACCGTTCGTATTTGGCCCTGCGTTTGCCATACTCAAAGTATATGGTCTGTCATGCTTCAAGTTTGGCTTGAATTCATCGTCGAATTCGCCTCCCCATATGCTCTCACCACCGGTACCAGTCCCAGTTGGATCGCCCGTTTGTATCATGAAACCCTTGATAACTCTATGAAATATGTGACCATTAAAGTAACCATTCTTCGCATGAACGCAGAAATTCTCCACTGTCTTGGGGACATCCTTGCTGAAGAGATTCAAGTGGATATCGCCGAGCGCCGTATGGATTATCGCCGTATCATATATCTTTTGCATGTTTGTGGCCTCCGTGGAAGATATGATATCCTCCTTAGAAGGTTTCTCGTTGAAGACATCGCGGTCGCATTCCTGACTCTTTGTGTCTTCCGGCTCTCGTCTCGTGAACATATAGAATCGATTTTTTTTGTGAGCCGTGCAAAACAACGTTGGATCCGGTCGATTCATTTCCATTGTGGGATTCTCGGAAGCCTCCATCTCGACAGTTAATGCGGCAGTAGTCTTCCTCGCTTTTCCCTATTTTGAATTACATATTTGTTATATCTGTTGCTTATGACTAGTGCTTTAACGATAAGATTTTTATACCTGGAATAATGCTAGCCGCATTGGTCGTATATTCTCTGGTTTTCCCATGATTTTAATACAACGATTTGTGTAAAGATTCACCATTTTGACACCTAACATGGTGGGATACAGAATAATATAACCAGACTCATCAAAAATAATATTTCCCAAATTTGTTTCGGTTTTATCCAGTTCTCTCTCGACTGCCATTCTATGATAATAATAAAAATTAAAGAAATAATTATTGAAAAATTGGAATCAATATAACTTCGAATACACAAAATGCAAACATCTCACCTACGTCCAAATTCCATGTTTGGAAGTTGCTGTACAGTTTGCTGTAATTCGCTAAATCTCTGCAATGTTTCGTCAAATATTCTGTATAATTTGCCCGTCCGGAAATTGAAGATTCTAACTTTTCTGTCTCCACTGAGGGACGCAAACCGTTTACCGTCAGGTGATATCGCTAAACCGCACGGATAAGTCTTATTTTTGGCAAACTCAAACAGATCAGTGTCCAATTTTGATTCAAATGATACACACTTGGGAAATTTATATTCCATTTTTGGACCTGTCCAGTACTCCAATATTCCAGCTCTATCGACGGAAATGCATGTTTCATATACATGATTATACTGCAAAAGAAAGAAACATTATTCTCTCTTCTTATTTTAACATTGATATTCCTTTTCATTGATTTTCTATTATAGCTTGACTTACTTTCATTATGACAACTGGTTTAGTATGCAGTTTTTCAAATACGTGTAAAGGCGTACTTGATCCCTGACCATCATAAATATATATCTTATTTGATTCTTGTGAAGACACTGCTACAGCAGCTATAGCATCGCCAGCTGAATAAACCCATTCAGTGCAAAGTGGCACAAAGTCCAATTTTATCATGTTTATCATATCTTAAATAATATACATGACAGAATAAATTAAATATGTCCTCTACATCTGAAAAGAGAGTCACCTGTAAAACTTTAATACTTACCAAAATTAATAACGTCGAATATTTTCATAGTTTTATCTATGCTGACTGAACATACATGAACACCATTGCAGCTAGCAGATATCGATTGTATTGCCATTAAGTGAGCTCGAAAGTGTTTTACGAATTCTATTAATTCTTCCTGCTTTTTCCAAAATTTTATATGTCCATCGCAGCTGGCAGTTATCATGAAATTTGACCTGTATCAATAAATATAAATTAAGATTTTTAGAAAAATAATTGTTACACATTATTATAATTATTATTACAATACTAACTTTGTTACTAAAATATGGGTAATGACATCTCTATGCATATAAGATTTTTCGTAACATTCGCAGCATGGCAAATTATCTATATAAACTTGTTCATACTCCAAGACTGTAAAATTAAAAGAAATAAAATTTCAAATGATATATATATATTTTTAAAATAAAACGTAATTTTTTTATCTCAAGAAATATTAAGCATAAAGAATAAAGATCTCAGAGACAATAGAAAAATTAAAATTTTCTCTGTGGAGCTTTATATTTTTTACTTTTATATTTTTTTATTTTTATTCATATTAAATTATTAGAAAATAATTATGTCATATATTCAACAGGAGAATAAGAAGTGAAAAAACAGGAACAGATATATAGAATTTCACTTCAGCATTTATTAAAATTATGGAAAATTAATGACAACAGTCTTAGTTAGGTTAGTTAACCTCTTTGCTTCTTTTGTGGAGCAGCTTCTGAAGGTAACGGTCCAATCCAGCCATCTTCCGTATCACTGCCTTCGTGTTCACGTTTTTCACTCATTATCACATATATGATATAATTTATTAATACGATTAATTATATTATTAGTAAATATGCAAGCACTTTCACGTCTTTCACGTCAACTAGTATTACTAACCTTTAATTCCAAAAATATTTACGTTGGTAGTGCACAGCAGTGTAAAGTATTATAGAGTGAGCTATTTTCGAGACATCGAATCGAAAGGATCAATAAAGAAACATTTCAATATTTTATTATTTATTTAATTATTCAATTATTTATTTAATTATTATGTATAGTATTTTTGTTATTTATATTTAATTATTTATATAGTATTATTTATACAGTATTATTTGAATAAATGTTTCGATTACTGCATTAATTTATTGTGATAATAAAATTATATTATTGTTATTATTATAAAATAATAATAATATATATATAAAAATATATAATCCAAATAACACACTTTATTCGAGGAATGTTTTTAGGACATAGGGATATCCTTTGAATGTTCTTTGAAACGTCTTCTTTGGAGATCCGTGTTATTGGGAAAAAAAATATAAAAAATACATATCTCTTGTGTTATAATTTAAAAATTATAGATCTTTATATATATTATCTATTTAATTAAATTCTTATAATAAATTTTCAAAAATCTTTTTAAATTTTCATAAAATGTATACAAAGAAACAGAGCAGAGGAAAAGGTGGTATTATGCTCGCAGTTATATTTTAATAACTTTGTTAATAATATATAAATTTAAAACTTGACAACTATATTCGTTAAAATGTTATTAAATCGATTCTGGATTCAAAGTTAGGAAATATTTATTACTTAGAACACTATTTTAAAAATGTGGCGACATTGCATAATAACTCGAAGAAAGACATGGATGGTAATGTGGCTTATCATAAAAATAGTCTTAAAAAATTAGTTTTGTTTAGAAAACAGTATTTGGTCACAAAATTAACAAGAAAGTAAAACATTTCAAAATGTGTAAATAAATGTATACATATACATTCACATATAATTTCTGCATATAAGATGTTCAGTATTAAAAATTTCAGTACTAAAAATAGTACACGTAATATAAACTATAGATTAACAATAGATTTATAATCGATTATCAAATAATTATTTTAATATGAAAACCTCAAAAAGAGGTGAGGATATCGATAATCAATACTCATAGAGGACCACATTAGCAAAATGCCATGCTATTGTTCAAATTTGCATAACTTAGAATATACATATACAGTCAAATAAAATGTTAAATAGCAAACAACACACTCAAAAATACATATATTCGTGTGATAATACGCTCAAGTTTAAGAAAATGAGAAAGTAGGTGTAATTAAATGCTAAAATGTACTCAGAAACATTTCAAAATACTTGAAATTAAAAATGTGTTATAATAAGTGCTGGTTATTGACTATTGGTATATTAGCGTCATGATGTAACGGCGAGCTACTGAAAAATAATACCATAAGTAATCATTAAGATTTGCTATATAATAGCGGAGATATTAAGGGAGGCCACAATATCATTAACTACAACACTACCTTATTCTCTATATATAATTATAAATATGACAATTTACAATCAATAAAATATGAATTTTTAATCATTAGGAAATATATTATTATGATTATTAATTGTGTATAAAGAAATTACAAAGCATATACAAATGTTGAGCAGAACTGCTGTTAAACCTTTCAGAAAACGAAACGAATTACAAATTACAGAGAGTACAATTCCAGAAAGATAAGCTTCTTGCTTAGTAAATAACTCAATAGTTTTAAGAAAGTAGAGGACAAGAATGATGTAAGTAATAATTGCAAGAAAGCATGATTAAAATAATAAACGCAGACTTATTACGTAGTAAATAGAGACAATTAAAAAGAATTATTATAAGAAATATTGTCAATTAAAATAAATAGAATTAAAGCGTTAATACAAACTTACAATTAGTAGCGGCAGAGCGAAACGAAGGAACTGAAGGGGAAGAGCGAATAGAAGAGGATACCATATTGTAAAATTTTGTGGCAGTATAGAAAAACGCAACTTTGAATTTGGAAGTTCGATGTCTAGAGAAGAATAAGGAATTATGATACCGTGTCAGGAGTGTCATCAGAATGGAGATCGAAGTTCAAGTACAGGAGACTACGGAGGTATCGGAGAAATGCCAGAATGAAAGAGACGAAAAACGAGACAACACAAGTGAAGAACATAACGCTGATGCATCTTGAGCCAATTGGAGCGCAAGAAATAAGGGGAGATATGATCATACTTACGTATATTAAAAAAGAATAACGAAGACATGAATTCTGAACACGCTGAACTCCGGTAAGCAATTTTTGAGACGATGTTGGTATATAGATTAAGTCGGCATAGTCGAACAAGGAAATTACAAACAGTTGGGATATTAGAAGTTTCTGTGAAGTATACGTATTGATAGGATGTGACGAAATGGATATAAAAGGCGGAGACTTAAGAAAGCTGTGCGACATTTCACCACGATATGCTCGCTAAAAATCCAGGAGGAGTCAAAATGGATTTCAAGAATTTTAACAGAAAGAGAGAGAGGGATTTGTGAGTAGTTAAGGAGAATGAAAGAAAAGAGATGGGATTTTGTAACGAGCGAAGAGAATTTAGAAGAGTTAAGATGGAACGCATTGGAGGAGGTTACTTTGCAATAGAGCAAAGATCCTAGTTTATGCAGCAGTAGAAAAAACTTCGGATATATGAAAAGAGTATAATAATACGACATCGTCAGCGTACATGAAGAATTTGGAGTTAAGTGATATGGAAGTGAGGTCAGAGGTAAATATCGTAAAGAGAAGGACCAATGATAGAACCTTGAGACACTGGAGAGGATATTGCAAAGAGAGAAAGAGGAAGGATTATAAAAGATACGTTGAGAGTAGTAAGGAAGAAACGTAAAAAATGATAGAGCGGAAGAAGATGGGAGGAAAGAAGTTTTAGGAGAAACGATTCGTGATCAACTGTATCAAAAGCTCTCGAAAAATCAAGGGCAATAAGCGAAGTTAATAATGAGTCAAATCCGCGTAACACAGTATCAGATAAATGAAGTAGCGCTCAGTAGTATTGTGAAAACTGCGAAAGCCAGACTGCCAATCAGGAATCGAATTGCATTTTCTGAAGAAGTCATTCAATTGATCGAAATAAATACACTCATTAAGCAATTTAGAAAGGAAAGGAGGAATAGAAATTGATCGAAAAGAGGAGAGTAAAGAGGGGTTACTATTTTTAGGAATTGGAACTACTATAGATTGTTTTTAAGCATAGGGAAAAGTGTTGGAGGACAAGGAATAGTTAAGAATGTGAAGGAGAGGATCAAGACATGTGGGAGACAGAGCATATGGCCAGATATGTCGAAAGGATCGACAGAAGTAAGTCTTCAGGATATTAAAAAGATAGGTGATAAAAGAATAATAGGAGTAAAAGAAAAAGAAATGACGAGATTAGAAGGAAAAGAGAGGGCCAAAAGAAATCAGGGAAAGAACTAGGAAGAGAGATGAAATAATTGTTGAGAAGAAATGGATCGAGAAGATGGTTTGGGATAGATGAAGAGGAAAGAGAAACCTGCGCCGAGAATAGAGAGATTATGCCAAAATTGACAAGGAGTTAGTGAAAAGAGATAAGGGCAGGAAAGTCCTTTTTTCGCGACGCACGCTGCAATAATGACATTTCGACAGCTCTCTATAATGAATCCAGTCGGTATCAGAACGCCTAAACTTACTTAAAAGTTCGAGATTTTAAAGCAATCATTTGTTCGAAAAATTGTTCAATAAAATCATTGATTTGCGAGATAATTGGCCATATAACTTAAAATGAAACACCCTGTATATATATATATATATATTAGGTTGTTCGGAAAGTAATTTCGTTTTTTCTTATGAAAATGAAAGACGATTTTCAATCAGACGCGTTTCAAATGATCATGAACGGTCGAATTCGATAAATTTAATCTCTCAGCGATCTCACGAGTTGTTATTCGCCGGTTTCATCAATTAATGCCTTTATTGCGTCTTCATCAGCTTCAACTGGCCTTCCAAAACGTGGTGCATCTTCAACATCAAAATTGCCGGATCGAAATTTTGCAAACCAGTTTTGGCACTGGCATTCTGTCAATACATCTTCTCCATACACATCGGATAATTTTTTCTTGCTTGAACAGCATTTTTATCTTTTCGATAGTAAAAAAGTAAAATATGCCGAAAATGCTGTTTTTCACTTTCATATTTGATAGGGCACCAACCAAAAACTACTGCGTAGAATCAATCGAACTTTTTTCACAAGCAAGCCTTGCTATATCAGCTGTCAAAATATATAATGATTATGCGGCTTAAGTGTGAAGTTGGCTGTGAAAAAATACAATAAGTCCTCTGTTGGGAAAAAACGAAATTACTTTTCGAACAACCTAATAGTATATGCATATATGGAGTTGTAACATATATTTAATATTGATTATAAATACAATTTTCGATGTTATATATTTATATGTATAAAAAAATCTTACATTTTTTTATTATTTAAAAATTTATTATTTCTAACAAATAAAGAGAACAATTTTTTATGTTTACAGTATTACAATTTTAACTTTATTAAAATTTATATCAATATCTTTATTAATACGAATTTCTCATACATGGTAAAAAACATTTCGTATGTGTATAAAACAGTCCATTTAAATTCTTGTTAAATTTTTATGTAGAAATTTTTTTGACATATTCCAGAGTTAAGTTAATTTATAATGTGATTATATATGTCATCCAAATAAATTTGTGACTATAGAATATTTTTAAATAAACTATTTAAATAATATAGTTAATTATCGACATTCAACATTTTTTAGTAGTAAAATAATACAAATTGTAAGTAAAAAATAACATACAAATATATATGTATATTTCAAAACATAAATTCTAACATAAATGATTAAAGTATGTGTTAATTTAACATATCGTAAATGTTAATTTAATTTAAAAAATGTGTTTCCACTATTGTTTATAATCTTATGTCAGTATTAATTTTTTATGTTTTTTTTTAAATAATATTTATGTTACCTTCTAACACATATTCATCTTATGTTAAATTAACACATAAAAATTTAAGCGGAACGTTTGGGACATGTGAAATATGTTACATTTCCCCACCTTCCGTATCAAGTACTTTTCGGGCCGGTTCGCTGTACAGGTAAGTTGGGTATGGCAATGTATCGTTTATGTAAGTTGTAAAATTTGAATTATTTATCAAGTCAATAGTAAGATTCTGCGGTAAATTCTCAAAATATTTAACATTCAGATATTTTAATGGATTATTCATTAAATATAATATTTTTATCGATGGCCACGTATTCGTTAGAGGCAAAGACTCCAGTGAAGTGAATTTATTTTCTCTTAAATCCAAATATTTCAAAGATACAAGGGATTCCGTCCACCCTTTCGGTAAAGAGCTTAACATATTTCTCGACAAATCTAATTCTTCTAGGACAGTAAGATGAGCAAACGCATTAACTTTGATTTCCATAATCTTATTCTCTGCCATTAATAATTTAACTAATTTTGGCATATGCGTGAAAGCATGCGAGTTTATTTTAAATATGTAGTTGTTATTAATATGTAAAGTACTAATTTCTGTTTTTATTGAAATTTCTGGAACATGCACGATTAGGTTTCTACTCAGATCAAGTGTTTTTAAATACTGCAAATTTGAAAATGTTTCCGGATGTGTCCCATATAAGTAATTTGTGGATAAGTTCAAAAAGAGCAATTCGTTATTGTCTTTGAAAGCATCTGCTGTGATAATATTAATCTTGTTTCTGTAAACAGAAAGATAGTGCAGATTCTTCAAACCAGCCATCGATAAAGACGATGTTGAATAATCGTGTTGATTGTTAATCATGTTAAAATTATTCTTATCCAAATTTAGCGCAAACAATTTCTTTCCTTTTTCGTTTAAGTTTAAACGTTCAAACAAATTGTCATGAAGATCAAGAAAGTATAAGCTGTTCGGCAATGTTCGTACAAAATTGGACCTTACCAGCTTGTTTTCGGAGAGATCCAGGATTTTTAACTTGGGGAATGGCACCCAGCTTTCAACCGAAGATATGCTACTAATCAAATCGGGATCTAAATTATATTCTACATTCTTGATACAATGTTTACTTAGAGATAAAATTTCTAAGTTAAGATATTCGCCGGTAATCTGTAGACATGATTTATGATAGCCGTCGTTGAGACCACAGATCTTTGCACCATTCATAATAAGCACTTGCAACTTATCATGACTTCCAAAGTTAAGAAGGTCACGTGAGTAGCTCCAGTTATTGTTTGAAAGAAACAATTGAGTTAAATTTGGTAATCCATCGAAGGCACCTCTATCAATTTTCTCAATACTATTGCTCGAAAGATTGAGACAGGTAATCGAAGGACTGTTGATGAAATCCCGCTTTATTTCAGAGATCGCAATGTTTGAGAAGTCTAAAGAAATATTATTACATAGAAGTTCACGCGATTTGTTCACGTAATTTTCTATGGCAAAGTGATCAACGTTTGCTATTGATAATGTAGACCAGCAAACGAAGATGATGATTGTGAAGACAAACTTTGCAATGGTCAATTTCTGTAAATATAAAAAACGTCTGTTTTAGAATTATACAGATATGTGATTTAAATATAAAATATAATAAATTAAATTAATTAAGAAAGAAAAGAAAACGTTTAACGATTAAGCTGAATCTTAAGTGCTTAAATAATTTTATATGAATTTACTATATAATTATTTAAATGGCGCGCTGAATTAATTTTCCAATCTTGAAACGCAAACCGATTGAACTACAGTAGTAATATCACAAATTAAATTGGTTAGCAATTTACTAATTTAATGCTCATCGCATCTTATAAACAATTCAACTCTCGAATGGCACACTTGTTTTCAACATCTTCGAACGGTATGGGTCATTTGTGTTCGACTCGATTTTAAGATACTTAAAGTGCTTAAAAAACTCTATAAAAATTTACACGTGTTCTTTAAGATCTCTACTAAATTATTTTGCTATGTAAATGTTGGAAAAAAATTCGGATAGCATAGGGCCAGGCGCGCAGATATATGAGAAATAAGAATGTTAGAAAGTGCAATGCAATTGGACGCGAATGATCCATGTGTGCAGTTCGAGAATTAATTATAGGCCCGGCAACTATAGTGTGGAATCATAGACCATTCCACACTCAAAATTTAGTGTGGAATTAAGCTTAGTGTGGAAATATATCAAAAGAATTCAAAAATTCAAATTAAAAATCAACTATAGACTTTTTAAAATGTGCTGACCTATATTTGTGGTGATAGTGTACAATTGTGCAGAAATTCAACTTTCTTAACAAAAATCATTTATACTAGCCATAACCGTGTGTCATTATCTGTAAGAATTGATTGATCACAGTCGAGCATTCCTTTCTTACAATTGAATGAGAGAGAAACACTCGAATATGATTAATCAATTTTTACAAATTACGGCATATAATTACGGCCAATATAAATGATCCCTTACTGACTGTTAGACAGAGCGATGTAATTCGCAATCGTAAAAAAGAGACGGCAACAAAAAATACAAAAAATAAATAAAAAATAAAAAAAAGGTCGTCATTTTGTGCTCTTCCCCCTTTCGTCAGTCAAAAATTCTACGAAATAAATTGCCCTAGTCCTGGTTAATTATGTTGGATAACATATTAAAATCGTTATATAGATTTTCTTTCTTTTCTTGTTGTACACTGAGAAACCCATTTAGTTGAATCAACCAAGGATTTGTCCATATCCAAACAAGAAATTAATTCTTGAAATATGAAACGCCTTACCGGTCCGAGTATTAAGATGTAGAACTACTATATAATATACACTCATTTAAATTGAATTAAATTTTCAGAAATAAATTGCGAGCCGATAAGATTATCGGATTCACACAATCAATTTGAAACAAATAATCCTCCAAAAATTTCCCAAATCTTAAAAAACTGTAATAAACTTATTGCGAAAAATATTGCCTCGGTCGGGAGTCGAACCCGGATCACTTGCATTCCGGTGAGCGTCCAGAAGAAATTAATTGATGCAATAAAATAATTTAGTTGAAACAAAACATTTGGTTATTGTAACATTTCACTTGTTTCTGATAAACATTGATATTTGATAAAGTTGTTCACAATAACCAAATGTTTAGCTTCTAACTAAATTATTTTATTGCATCTACCAAAGATTTGTTTGCTTATATCCAAGAGCTCATATTCAACAAGAAATTAATTGATTCAACTAAATAGATTTTTCAGTGTATATTCACATGTACAGTTTTAGAAATTATTCTTTATTTATAATATTGTTTAAATTCATTAATAAAAAATAAATATAAGACAAAATTATAATTATATTTATGCAATAAAGATAATTAATCGAAAATATAGTTACATAATTGTAGTTTTCAGTTATAGATTTTTTTTTATATAAGATATATTATTTATTATTTACTATAGTTTCTGTTAAAATTATATAAAAATGTAGCCTAC